AAATTCATATGTCGCTCTGCCCTTGTGGTATTTTCAACGTTTCAGGCTGATGAGGAAGCGTTTAATGATATGGGCAGTGGCGAACCAGTGTTTATTACAGACGAGCCAGCTAGGTACAAGCGTAAGTCATGCCAGTTGATTCCTTTTAAATGTTATCATCATAAAACTGGATTTCTGGTCAGTTGCAGTACTTTTGTTTTCTGAACATTTCATTCACATTGCCTTTCATTTTGAGATATCTTTTCTCTCCTTCAGTTTTGTAGATGGTCGAACTTATATGGCATGCATCTAGGCTTAAATGGCTAAGACCTTGTCAACTGGTTTTGTCAAAAGAATTGTTGAGTCTGTAATCCCTTCATGAAACAAAACGTACATCGGGATCATCAGTGTGCCGAACAACAGAGAACGTAGCATTGAGGAGTGCAACTGGAAAAGTTAGCAGCAGAACAGCGGGAGAATCTGATTATAATATGGATAGCAGGTATTTCAGGCTTTGAAGTTGATAAAGTTGCCAAAGAAGCCTGTTCTTTCCCTCACTGAGTTTATCCAAAAATATGTTTATCAAACAATTCCAGGAGGAAACACAATCTCCAATGAATTTACCGCCATCTTTGGAAAGTGAATTTGTCGCATCATATTTTTGTGAACAATTTCTAAGCGTCATAAAGTGTTTACCTCTTTCCAGGCAAATGCAAAACATGAAAGAGCGGCGGATGCATGCAATTAAAGAACTCGGTAAAAAGGCTGCTACTGATCAGGGTATGTTTTTACCACGGTCCTAAATAAGCGTAATCGGTGCTGATACTCAATGCCTCTTTACTACACTGCTTTAGAACTCTTCCGGGCTCAGTACTCAAGTTATCTAAACTAAACAAAAAGACTTTATTTTCTTGAAATTTCATTTCAGAATTAAGTTTAGTTCGTTTTACAAAATTAACTTCCTTTTCATACTAAAACTAGTAAAACAGGCTGTCCGTTATGCAATAAAGCGCTGGCCAAAGCAACTGAAATAAAACGCACGAGCTGCCCGTGCGAAGATGCGTTTTTTGCACAACTCCCAGCAGATTTTTATGCTAACGGCACTGGTTTTTCTGGCAGATGCTTCTAGCTAAAAGAATTTCAGACTGGCCGCCAGAACTGTTAGGAAACTTCCCTTCAAAATTCCAGTCCTCTAGCTTCTCACGTTCTCGAACTAGCAACTTACCCGGAAGAAAATTTCACGAGCCGTGCGTGGGTGCCGCGCATACCCGAAGTCTGGGTTTGAGCCCTCTGAAACTTACGTGGACAGGGAACATCCTCTTAAAATTTCAGCTTTCCAGCTTTTCTGCCTCGTGAGTAGCGGCTTACCCGCAAAAAACTTTCGCAGGCCTGTGCGTGGGCATCACGCGGGTAGTTCCAGCCCTATAGCTTTTGTAGGTCTCGAGATGAAAAATAGGTACAGAGCCCCAGCACACACACACACACACAC